TTGTACTCAGGTTTTGGAGAAGGAGAGTAGTATGGAGGAGGTTGGGGAGAATTGTAAACGTACGGCGGTGGTGGAGATTTGTACTCAGGTTTGGGAGATGGAGAGTAGTACGGCAGAGGTGGAGGAGAAGTGTAAACATACGGTGGTGGTGGGGACTTGTACTCGGGTTTTGGAGAAGGAGAGTAGTACTTTTGTTTCTGATTGGTTTGAAAATTGAATGATTGAATACTTTCTGTGTATTTCAACTACTTGAGAGGAGTTCCTTTGACGATATCAAAGGGTTCTATGTCACCCTTTGTGATATCATTCGTTTTCCCAAGTTACTAGTGTCATTGATGTCCAAACCGAACAAGACTTTTATTTTTCAATCAATAAAAATAAATGTATAAAAGACAATGTTCGATAAACAAATGTGAACAATTTTATTAATACATATAGATGGAGGAATACAAATACTCCATGCAAGTGGTGATCAATTTAACATAACAATATCAGACATCACGTGACAAAAGAATCAAAATTGAAATAAGAAATTGTTGAAAACAAAAATTTAGATATGTATTTAGTTGAAAAGAAAAATATTACCCAACTTCAATTTTGATGGAGACTTGCGCGCAAGACATCGAGATGGAGAATAATACGTCGAAGGAGGTATACAACGCTTTTAACATATGGTGGTGGTGCTTATTTGTACACAGGTTTTGGAGATGGAGAGTAGTATGGAGGAGGTGGGGGAGAAGTGTAAACGTACGGCGGTGGTGGAGATTTGTACTCAGGTTTTGGAGAAGGAGAGTAGTACGGCGGAGGTGGAGGAGAACTGTAAACATACGGTGGTGGTGGAGACTTGTACTCAGGTTTAGGTGGAAGAGAATTGTAAACGTACGGCGGTGGTGGAGATTTGTACTCAGGTTTGGGAGATGGAGAGTAGTACGGCGGAGGTGGAGGAGAAGTGTAAACATACGGTGGTGGTGGGGACTTGTACTCAGGTTTTGGAGATGGAGAGTAGTATGGCGGAGGTGGGGGAGAAGTGTAAACATACCTCTTTGAAATGTTCTAAAGATTCTCATATGATTTTGTTGGCACGATTTGTCTTAATTTGATTTATTTCTTTTTATAATAAATAGAAACAAAAGTAGTCCAAAGATATTAAAAAAAAAACGTCTTGCCACGTCAGATTAATGAAGATAAAAGAAGATTCACATTTTCCGTTTTTTTAACTCCAAAGACACAAGTAGCCAAAAGATTGCTCCAACAAATACTAGGAGGAGATTCTCTCTTATTAATTACTTGATTACAGATTAATAATCATATAACGGCTTCTGCTTTGTATCACGCATATCACCATTAAAATCAGTAAAGATGCAAAAACAGAAAATTAATCATTTTATAATAAAAAAATATTAAAATAATAAACTATAATTTCTTATAAACTATATTAGATATTCATATATATAAATTATGATTATCTATGAAATATAATTGTCAAACGAACTTAACTATATTAATTGTTCACTTGAACAATATATGTGGAGCAAACATCAAGTCGTATATATGTCCACTTTCGAAAATAAATTTTGTTATACTGAATGCATAATTAATTCGTAATGGGATTAGAAAGTAGAGAAGACGTTAAAACGTTTTATTAAGGATGAGTGCAAGTTACATTATTTTGCTTCTAACCTCAGCATACATGCACCCACTCACACGATTAGGTGTGACGACTCAACTCCACGCCGAATTCAAAACCCTTGAAACATGCATGCATGCACGTACGTGCCGGTTTCAGGTTTAGTAAGGGGTAGCCTGGAACTGGCATTGTCCGACAGGGATGTTGCAGATGTTGGGCAAGTTCCTAGCAGCTTGGAACATCTGTCTCACCTGCTGTGGCTGGTGCTGTCCCTGGTACCTCACCTGTTGAGCCGCGTGCCTTATCACTGGGCACACGCACATGCGGTCAACTTGACGCAGCTCGTTGCAGCACTGTCGGAGGGCTGGCGTCCTCTGGTTCACGTCGTCGTCTTCAGTCACGAGCTCGATGTCATCATCGGCCGAGCCACCGCCGCGTTGGGCACGTCGGCGGATCCATTGTTGGCAAGCCCTGAGCTGCTGTTGCTGCTGGAACTCCCTCTGGCAGCGTCCTTGTGGGCCCCTCTGGTTCACGTCGTCTTCGTCGAACTCAACCACCGTGCGGTAGATGGAGGCGTTAGACAGGACGAGGAAGAGGGCAAAAGTTGCCAAGAGGACTATGAGCTTCGCCATCTTTTGTGGTGATGAAGTGCGTTTTGTCGTGTTTGCTTGTGTTTGATGCTTTTGTTTAGTGCTTTTGGTGGGTATTTATGGAGGAGGAGGGAGTTTGCATGTCGAGAACGTGTAAGAAGACATTAGAGTACTTTGGTTTTTGTCTGTATTATGTGTTGGTCTCTTTGTAAATGTGGTGTTTGCCAACCGCGGCGTTTCCTCGCATGAACGTCCATGCGTCCCTAGTCATCTGTCACAGCTCTAGTATTTTGTCTCTTTATCGAATCACATTCGAATAAGATAATTTCATATTCTGATAAAACGTATCGTAAATATATCTGTTAAATGTATCTCAAGAAAGATACGGTAACCTGCCAAGACATGGTTCGATTCGTGTGTTTTAACTCGTAAAAAACCACTTAGATTCATATAGAAACTCTCTCAAGGATTCCAAAATCAGAAAACACGGATATGAAACCGATATTCATGCAATGCAATCGCAAGTTCAGGATAGATATGGCTCGAAAAATGCATGGTTGTAGATGCTGAAGACGAGACCGAGGAATAAAGGAATGGATGAGATCTCCTCACCAACCGATTCCCTCTCGTATTGTTAAGGTTTCAGAGGGAGATCGTTAAGGTTTGGAAAGAAGCCCAAACAAATGGAAGAATTTGTTGGGTATCGTAAATATATGGAAAAATGACATTTTTCTACACGGATTATTAAAATGTGATTTTTTCCTACACAAACTTTTAATTTGACAAAAACTTACACCAAATTATCAAATGTGCCAAATTGATACACGAACTACCCAATTTAACTGCAATTTCCTACACAATCCGAAAACGGTGTTAAATGTCCGTTAACCGATGACATGGCACGCCACATGGCGTCTGACATGGCATGCCACATGAGAAATTTTACCATGTCAGCATGCCACGTCAGATTTTAAAAAAATACAAAAAAATCCGAAAAAAATAAAAATAAAAAACGGATTTAAAAAAACAAAACAAAAAATCCGAAAAAAAACTAAAAAAAAATAAAATAAAAAAATAAAAATAAAAGGTAAAAAAATACACATATATATTCATATCTATATACAAATACAAATATAAACATACATACTCCTATATATGTATATATACTTATATATTTTTTATTATGTATATATATATACCTAGGAGTATTTATTTTTATATTTGTATTTGTATGTGGATATATATATATATATATATAGAGAGATTATTTTGTATGTATGTATGTACATATATATATGCATATGTATATATATACATACATATATACGTGTATATGTATTTATATATATGTATGTGTATATATATAAATATACTTGTATGTATATATATTGGTATAAATACATCTATATATGTGTATATTTTTTATTTGATATATATAGATATATATATACATTGGAGTATTTATGTTTATATTTGTATTTGTATGTGGATATGAATATATTTGTATATATATGTATTTTTTATTTTGTATGTATGTATGTATGTATATATATATGTATATATATATATACATATATATACGTGTATATATATTTATATATGTGTATGTGTATATATATAAATATATTTGTTTGTATGTATATGTATATATATTTGTATAGATGTTAGTATATATATATATGTATATGTTTTATTTTGTATATATAGAGATATATTTTTATATAGGAGTATCTATATTTATATTTGTATTTGTATATAGAAATGAATATATATGTAGGAGTATATATATATTTTTAAAATAGGAATATATAGATTTTTATATAGGAGCCTGTTTTAATCACCGAGAGTTGAAAGTACAACTCCTCTACATGTATCCACACCGGCGGGATGAATTCCAACACTTTGGAACGTATCTGCTAGGATTTGTGAAGAGAAAACGATGTCTTAGATAAAATAAATAAAAGTATCTTTCAAATTGGAGATCCAGCTATCTATAATAATAAATATG